CCAAAAAAAAAAAATAGAAAGGAAAAAAAAAAAGCAGCTTCTCTGCAGCAAGATGAGCTGTTTGGGTTCCCCTCCGCGCAGAGCTGTTCACACCAAGGTTTGGTGTCCTGTTGCCCCAAAATTAAATCCTTTTTAAGGATCTAAATCCTGGCAAAGGGGATGTTTGGGTGGTGGGGAATAACCCAACGGGGGTTTTGAGGGAAAGTTGTGGGACTGGGGGGGGCAATGAGCCCGGGATGGGGCTGCAGGAGCTTACACTGGGAGAGCAGAGAGCCGTGGCGTTGCAGGGCCCGTGGGGATCTCCGTGGAGCTGCCGGCAGCGAGGAGGAAGAGGAGGAGGAGGAGAAGGAGGAGGAGGAAGATGCCTGTGAGGAAGACAAGGGGACGTGTTCCCGGCTTCCGCTGAACATGTCTCTACAAACTAAGATGGACAACATGGAGCTGAGGAGCATCGATGCGATGGCTGCGAACTTCCATACCCTCATCTTAGAGCGAGTCAGGACATTGGAGCTCTGCAAAACAGGCCAAACAAAAAATCCTTATTATGCAGCCCTCGCCCCCCACCCCAGTTCTCTGTCCCTCCTTCCCCGTGTCCCGTGGGATCACTGGTGTCCCCTCGGCTCCGGCTCCTTCCCCGCTGCCCTCCCGAGGCTGGGCTGGTGTTGGGAGAGGGAAACTGAGGCACAGAAGAGCCCAGGGATGTGTTGGAACACCGGCTGTGGTGGGCGAGGGAGGGCTGGGGAGGGTGGTGGCAGCGGGGATGAGGTGGCACCAGTGGGGACAAGGGGATGGAAATGAGGACAAGGGGATGGAAATGGGGAGAAGGGGATGGAAACGGGGACAAGGTGACACCAATGGGGACAAGGGGATGGAAATGGGGATGAGGTGGCATCAATGAGGACAAGGGGATGGAAATGGGGACAAGGGGATGGAAATGGGGACAAGGCAGCACCAATGGGGACAAGGTAATGGAAATGGGGAGGAGGGGATGGAAATGGGGACAAGGGGATGGAAATGGGGACAAAGTGGCACCAGTGGGGACAAGGGGATGGAAATGGGGCCAACATGATGGAATTGGGGTCAAGGTAATGGCAATAGGGACAAGGTCATGGAAATGGGGTCAAGGTGATGGAATTGGGGTCAAGGTGATGGAAACAGGGACAAGGTCATGGAAATGGGGTCAAGTTGATGGAAATAGGAACAAGGTGATGGCAATAGGGTCAGGGTGCCAGCAACAGAGTTAAGGGATGGAAACGGGGTCAAGGTGATGGAAACAAGTTCAAGGTGATGGAAACAAGTTCAGGGTGATGGCAATAGTGTCAAGGTGGCACCAGTGTGGACAAGGCAGCAGCAAGGGGCACAGTGTGGCACCAAGGGGGACAAGGTGATGGCCTCATCCAGTCCCTCCCCACCACACACAGCTGGGTTCCCATCTCCCCTCCCTCCATCCAGGTTTCCTCACGCCGGGGGCCGGTATCACAGTGGGAAGGGACAGGGACAGGCAAACTGATGCCACCCCAACCTGTGAGGCCTTTTCCGCAGGGAAGTTCCCCTGGGAGGAGCCCCTGGCTCCATCTCCCCCTCCTTCACCCCGCTCTGGTGTGTTTTGATGTCCCTGTCCTTCCACAAGCACCAGGAATCCCCTCCTGCCATCCCCTCACCCAGAGGGGCAACCAGAGCCCAGATCCCTCCCCGCTGGCAGCACCAACATGGCAGCTCCACCAAAACCAGCCAAAGCCATGGAAACCTCAGGAAAAATGACCAGGAGGGGTGGGGCATCCCAACAGTGGGACCGGGACCCTCGGCCGTGCTGACCACCCAGAGCCACAGCCCAGCAGCTTCCCAAAGCACAAATCCCACCCCAAATCCCTCTGGCATGTCCCTCAAGGCCAGCTGGGCTCTCCCCTTCCACCATTCCATAATCTCCATCCTGAGCAGGTTGGATCTGGCGGGATTTTCCCACTGATCCTGCAGTGGGGGAATGGGATCTGTGCTCCCATCCCTGGGCTCTGAGCCATGAAATCCCATCAAAACCAGGCTCTGGGAAGCAGCACAGACTCCCAGCTGCCTTGTGGCCCCTATTTTTTTTTGTTTCAAACTCCAAATATTTTTCCTTTGCAAATAAAATTTTCCAAAGGGGGTAATTAAAAAAAAAAAAAAAAAGGGAGAGAAGGGAAAAAAAAAAGGAGAAAGGGAAAAAAACCCCCAGCAATCTCAATTTCACAATATTGGTCAAATATAATTTACTGGAGGGGGGGAAATGTTTGTTTTAATTTGGGATTTGGCACGTTTGCTCTTATTTTCGTTGCAGAAAACAAACACCCCCCTCACGGCCACATCCCTTGGTTTTATGGGATGCAGATAATTCCATGTTAACTACCAGGAATCAGATACCCCGTGGGTTACGGGGCAATTGTAGAATCCAGCCAGAGCCTAAATATTTTCAGCTGGGCTATAAACAACGCCAAGATAGGAAAAAGAATAGTTTGGCCATATAAGGAGGAAAGAGGATGGAATCCCAACCGGTCCGAGACACCGCGGTGATAAGCACCGGAGTGGGATGGGAGCTGGGAGAGGCTGGTGGGAACACTGGGAGCACCAGAGGGGGATGGTGGCAGCTCTGCCTGCTGCTGATTCCCATCCCGTGGAGACAAGGAAGAGCTGGGGTCCTCATCCTGCAGGAGAGTGATGGAGGGTGTTGGAGGATGATGGAGGATGATGGAGGATGATGGAAGATGATGGAAGATGTTGGTAGATGTTGGAGGGTGATGGAGGATGGTGGGGGATGAAGATGAGGATGTTGGAGAATGATAATGAGGATGGTGGAGGATGACGAAGGATGTTGCAGGATGATGGGGGCTGTTAGGGGAGGATGATGAGAATGGTGGAGGATGATGAAGGATGATGGAGGATGTTGGAGGATGATGGAAGATGTTGCAGGATGATGGGGATGATGATGAGGATGGTGGAGGATGATGGAGGATGTTGGAATATGATGGGGGATGATGGAGGATGTTGGAGGATGATGGAGGGTGTTGGAGGATGATGGAAGATGCTGGGAGATGTTGGAGGATGATGGAAGATGTTGGAAGATGTTAGGGGATGATGAAGGATGCTGGAGGATGCTGGAGGATGTTGGAGGATGATGGAGGATGTTGGAGGATGATGGAGGATGTTGGAAGATGCTGGAAGATGTTGGAGGATGATGGAAGATGTTGGAGGATGATGGAAAATGTTGGAGGATGATGGAGGATGTTGGAAGATGTTAGGGGATGATGAAGGATGTTGGAGGATGATGGAGGATGTTGGAAGATGCTGAAGGACATTGGGGGATGATGGAGGATGTTGGATGTGTTCACATCTATGTTCATCATCATGATAGGACATAGTGGGAATGGTGATGGGACAAGGGGGGAAAGGCTTCCAACAGGAAAAGGGCAGGGTTAGATGGGATATTGGGAAGGAATTCCTCCCTGGGAGGGTGGGGCACAGGTTGCCCAGAGAAGCTGTGGTTGCCCCATCCCTGGAAGTGTCCAAGGCCAGGTTGGATGAGCCTGGAGCAACCTGGGATAGTAGAAGGTGTGGGATTGGATGATATTCAAGGTCCTTTCCAACTCAAACCATTCCATGATTCCATGATAATCAGGTGCCTTAAATCCTGATTTCTCCTTGGCAAACAAGAGCAGGAGCAGGGAACAGGCACTGAGAACTCATCAAACAGTTCCCAGGATTGGGGCTAAAGGGTGAAGGACCAAGAAAACTGCACTTGGTCCTTGGACAGGTGGCAAAACTCAGGGAAACGAAGGAATTGGGAAGGAGCAGCAGCCTCGGGGGAAGGAGAAGGTTTGGGAGGTGGGAAAGGGACCCCATATGGAGTAGGACAGGAGCCGTTGGCTCTCCAGGGGGACAAACAGCTTCCAGCAGCCGGTTTGGGGAATTTTAGGAGGTGAATTCCACGGTGAGCAACCAGCAATGGGGTCACACACAACCCCCTGAGCTCAACCTTCATGGTCTGGGGGGGGGCTCAGCCCCCCTTGCCCCCCAGGCAGGAAAGGGCTGTGACAGAGCAGAGCCGTGACACTCGATCCGGCCACCTGGGAAAGGGCCTCTGGCTCGTTGCAAGGGCATAAAATTTTAGGAGAGCAGTTTCAGCCTCGCTGCACGTCCCATAAAAAAAGCCTCCTGTTCCGGCAGCCAGGAATTCTGGCCCCCACCCACTCGCCTGTGACCTTTCGAAAGGCTTTAAAATCCCGGTTCCAACGTGCAAAACAACAACAGCGGAGTCATTCCGGGCTTTGCCGCCGCGTTTCTCTCGCTCTAAAAAGCCCCAGACTGCAAAGCTCAGCCTTGTCCAACCTGGCTTTGGACACTTCCAGGGATGGGGCAGCCACAGCTTCTCTGGGCAACCCATGCCTTCCCAATATCCTACCTAAATTTCCCCTCTTTCAGTTTGAAGCAATTCCCTGCATCCTGTCCCTCCATCCCTTGTCCCAAGTCCCACTCCAGCTCTCCTGGAGCCCCTTTGGGCACTGGAATGTGCTCCAAGGGCTCAGTTGCACCAGCCGTGATCCACAGGGTGCTTTTGGGCTGAATCCTGGTGTGTTTGGGCACTCACAGCCACGTGATCCCAGGGAGGGACCCAGGGATCTTGAGGAAAGGCCAAAGTTTGAGCTCAGCTTTTCTCCTGGAGAACAGCCCACAAGCTCCCTGTTTTCCTGCCTTCTCCTGATAATCCACGGATGTGATCGTGTCGTGTCTGCTGCCAAGAGGGAAACTCGATCCTACAGGAGACCCTTCCTGGCTGGACAGCCCCAAAACCTGCTCTGTTTGGCAGGAGTCACTGAAACCACTCCATCAGGAACCTCCTGAACCTCCTCTGGCATCACGTGCCCCGCTCTCATCCCTCGCTGCTTCCCAGGCAGAGGAAAACCTGCCCCGTGTCCCAAAGACTTGGAAATCTTAAGGAAAAACAACAAAGCAGTAGCACAGCCAACTCCTACCGCTTGGTCTGGGGAGGAGCAGGTGGATACCTGATTCCCAAAACCCTCCACGAGCTCCTCCTGCCTCCTGTCCTTCCGAGGGGGCCAATCCAACGAATCCACCCTCAGGTTTTCCCTCAGGAAACACTTCCAAGGCTCGACTGCCCTCACTGCTCAGCAAAAAACAACCAAATCAATCGAGTCTCCCTTCCAGGTGGAGTTTCCTTCCTTCCAAGTGTCCAAACTCCCAAGTGTCTGTGTTTCCACTGCCTTTCCCTGATAAATCAAAACCCGGCGACTCCGGCCCCAAGGATATTTTTTGCCCATCAAAATGCAGCACTCGGGGTTCTCCAACACCCCTCACTTTTCCACACTCTCACTCTTTCCCATCGCTCTCGTTCCTCACCCCCATTTCCAATTTTTCAAGCAGACCCCTCCAATTTCTTTCCACCATCCACTCACTCCTCAAACTGAGATGAGGGAGGGGAAGGGGAGCTTTATTCTTTCTCCCTAAATCTTCCTTGCTGCAGGGGGGAAGGAGGAGACGCCAAAACCCTTCGGTGCTGGTGCTTCAAAAGCAGGGAACCCAAAAGACATTACATTATAAGTGTGTCATAAATTTTCCGTCGATTCATGTTTCCGGGCATTGATTCATTATTTTCCAAGCTCTCGGCCTCAGCCGTGGCAAGAATGGATGAAGCCGAAGGATTTTTGGCAACGCAAAACACTTGGAAAGACCAAGTCCTTGACGGGACATCAGAGAGAGCTTCCACCTGCCACACTCTGTTTATTTGAGTGCCTTACATGGGAGCCAAGCGGGCTTTGAAATCCCGGCTCCCTGTGACTCATCCCGCAGGAATTAAACAATTTCCATCCAGGCTCACGGTGCGGCAGCTCCAGGGGCTGCTGGAAAGCGGCTCCTCCGGCAGCAGCTTTCGGTTCAACGCCTGGTCCTGCTCAGAGGGTGGTGGGATGGCTGTGGAGGGGATGGGGGTGGTGGAGAGGCCACCTGGACAGACCATTCCCAGAACTTTAGAGTATCCCCAAAACTTCCACAGACCTTCCCCAAAACTTTCACAGACCGTCCTCAAAACTTCCACAGACCATCCTCAAAACTTCCTCAGAGCTTTCTCAAAACTTCCTCAGAGCTTCCTCAAAACTTCCTCAGAGCTTCCTCAAAACTTCCTCAGACCTTCCTCAAAAGTGCCTCAGACCTTCCCCAAAACTTACTCAAACCTTTCCCAAAACTTACTCAAACCTTTCCCAAAAGTGCCTCAGACCTTCCCCAAAATTGCCTTGGACCTTTCCCAAAACTTCCACAGTCCTTCCCCAAAACTTCCACAGACCTTTCTCAAAATTTCCACAGACCTTCCT